CTGGGCTCAGGCAATCCACCTCAGTCTTCCAAGTAGCTGGAACTATGGGCACACGCCACCACATCCTGCTTATTTTCTGATTATTATAGAAACGAGGTCTCACCAAGTTGCCCAGGCTGGTCTCGACCCCGTGAGTTCAGGCAATCCTCTTGCCTCAACCTCCCAAAGTGCTGGGATTACAGACTTGAGCCACTGTGCCCGGTCGACTCTTCCTTTCTTGAAAGATGTCTCTGTAGCATGCAATGCTGTTTGATAGCATTTTTCCCACAGGACTTCTTTCAAAATTGGAGCTAATTCTCTCAAACCCTGCGGCTGCTTTATTAACTAAGTATGTCATATTCTAAATCCTTTGTTGTCATTTCACAGCATCTTCAACCAGAGTAGATTCCATCTCAAGAAACCACTCTCTTTTCTCTTATCCATAAGAAGCAACTCTTCGTTCCTTCAAGTTTGATCCTGAGTTTGCTGCAATTCAGTCACATCTTCAGGTTCCACTGTAGTTCTCTAGCTGCTTCCACCATCTCTGCTGTGATTTCCTCCACTGAAGTCTTGAACCCCTCAAAGTCAACCAGGAGGGTTGGAATCCACTTCTTTCAAACTCCTGTTAATGTTGGTATTTTGACCTCCTCGCATGAGTCACAAATGTCCTTAATGACATCTAGACTAGTGAATCCTCTCAGAAAATTTTCAGTTGACTTTGCCCAGATCTATCTATGGTAGCTATAGCCTTGTGAGATGTGTTTCTTAAATAATAAGACTTGAAAGTCAAATGGCTCCTTGATCCCTGAGCTACAGAATGGATGTTGTGTTAGCAGACATGAAAAAAGACAACATTAACCTCCTTGTACAGCACCATCAGAGTTCTCAGGTGACCGGGTGCACTGTCAATGAACATTTGCTGCTTCACCTTGAGACTTCTCTCCTTAAACCTCATGGACCACCCTCTGCCAGCTTCAAACGTTTCTTCTGCAACTTCCTCACCTCTCTCTGCCCTCATCGAATTGAACAGAGTGAAGGCCTTGCTCTGGATTAGGCTTTGTCTTAAGGGAATATTATGGCTGCCTTGATTTTCTAACCAGATCTCTAGAACTTTTTTCATATCAGCAATAGGCTGTTTTGCTTTCTTATCATTTGTGTGTTCACTGGAGTCATACTTTTCATTTCTTTCCAGAACTTTTCCTTTTCATTCACAGCTTGGCTTACTGTTTGGTGCTAGAGGCCTCACTTTTGGCCTGTCTTGGCTTTCAACATGCCTCACTCACCAAGCTCACTCATTCCTAGCTTTTGATTTAAAGGTTGACTTGTGACTCTTCCTTTCACTCGAACACTTACAGGCGACTGTAGGGTTATTAATTGGTCTAATCTCAGTATCATTGTGTCTCAGGGATCAGGGAGGCCCAAGAAGAGGGAAAGAGATGGGGAACAGCCAGCTGGTGGAGCAGTCAGAACATGCACCACATTTATTTAGTTTGCCAACTTGTACGGGCATGATTCAGTGCCCCAAAACAGTTACAATAGTAACATCAAGGTTCACCGATTACCGATCACCATAACAGATATAATAATGGTGGTAACATTTGAAACAGTGTGGGAATTAACAAAATGTGACACAGAGACATAATGAGAGCACATACTGCTGAAGGCACCAATCAACTTGCTTGCTACAAACCTTTAATTGATAAAAAAAAAAAAAAAACCACAATACCTGCAAAGTCCCATAAAGCAAAGTGCAAGAAAACAAGGAATGCCTGTACAGGCCTTGTACTCTTTCATGTGGAATTTATCCAAAGGTATTCAATAACTTTGTTGTTAGTGTGAACATGAACTTTTTTTTTTTACATTTCAATTTCTAACTAGTTACAGTTACTGTAAAAAAAAAAAAAAAGTATTGCTTTCTTATATTTTTAGCTCGAATCCAACCACTTTCCTAAATTGTCTTATTGAGATTTCTTTTACAGTCATATCCACAAATAATGATAAATATTGTTTTCAACATTTATATGTTTGTTTCATTTTCTTATCTTATTTCCAAAACTGGAGTCTCTAAAAATGTGAGTAGTAGAAGTGACAGCAAGCATGCTTATTTTGTTCCTAATTTTAATGGCTTTAGTATTTTATCCCTTTAATGTGATCTCTGCAGATAGTTTCTAACACTCATGTTTTGGATGTTCATTTTATTTCTTTATGGTTTTTCCATTCCATTCCATTCTGTTCTATGCCATTTCATCAAGAATGGTTGCTGAATTTTATCAAATGTCTTTTTGCTCTCTGTTAATTTGTGGCCTTCACTGATGTAAGGAATTGAAAGGTTTGTTAATTCTTGAAGCATTCTTATACATGGAATAAACCCTAATTGATCTTGGTGTGTCATTTTTGAATATGGTACTAAATATTTCTAATATTTTATTTTAGAATGTTTGCATTGCAAGCCATAAGCTATACTGGTTTGTATTTTTTTTCTTTTAATATGTTTTCTATACCATATTTTGGCATTGAGGTAATATGTGATGAATTAGAATACTATATATCGCCTTCTGTGTTCTGGAATAATTTGACTAATGTAAAAATTATCTATTCCCTGAAGGCTTAATACAGCTTGCCTTTAAAATCATCTGGGCTTGACACCTTTTAAATGATAGACGGTAGATCCTTTAACAGCTCTTTCCATTTATTTTGTGGTTACCTGTCTATTCAGGCTTTTATAATACTTAAGTTCAGTTTAATAACCTGTATTTTGCTAGAAAACTATTCAATTTCCTCTGGAGTTTAAATCATATTAACCCAAGGTTGCATATAATACTTTGTTAGAACTCTTCCATAACTGTTGTTAGAATAATAGTATTTCCCATTAGTTTTGTGCTTTGAAAGAGCATCCACATACATCACCTCAGGTGAGCCATACTCCTCCTGGATAGATGAGGAAACTGAGGCAAAAAGTGGGTAAATGACTTGTTGCAGGGTCACCCGGTCACAGTCAGGTAGACTCTAGACTCAGACCCAGGACTCCCATCTTTACATGCTGAACTCCATCCACCTGTGTTCTTTCCAGTGACACTCCCCAGAACCCCATCCTCCTCAGGCCCTGAAGGCATGACAACTGTGAGGGTGAACTTAGAGCTGTGACTCTATATCCAGGAGACAGTCCTCTGCTCTCTTGATGCCATCATCCCTCAGTTTAAGGAAATGCTGATGTAGTTGGCTCTAGGAAGTGCATTTTCAACTATCTAAATTCTGAAAATGCACAAAATGCATCAGCAATATCCCTTTTATTTTCCAAAACAAAAAGAAAGACATTCATTTACTTGGCAAATGGCTCCAATGGACATATTTAAAAGCTTCTGTTAAGCTTTGGGTGGTTGAGGATGTGGTGGGCTTTGGTTTGAGTGTAAGTGTGTGTATTCATGTTTCCAAGGATATTCCCAGCAGCATCCCGTGTTGGATACAATTTCGTAAAGTATGAAAGACTTTATGCATTATGCAGATTGTCTGTCAGGAAGGATCGTAACATATAATACATAAATTGCCACGGAGTTGCTTAAAATAAAACATGACCAAGGTTTAATACGAGATGGGAGATGAGATGTGATAATCTGGTAATGCCTCAGCACAGCACTGGCACACAGTAAGAGCTGGCATCAAAGCGAACGGTCAGCAAGGGTCTTGATGTGGAGAAATGCAGCATATCCCAGAATACACTCAGGTGCAGGGGCAACTTTCGTATGTGGTCATCTCAGGATTCTCACCAGAGCCCATTTTCCTGGTCCCACCCCTATCTATACTCCAGGAGCTGGCCTGATGAGCAGCAGACACATACTTGTCTTTAGGAGCCTTTTAATTTTTCTTTTAATTGGGATCTTACTCTGTTGCCCAGGCTGGAGTACAGTGGCACGATCACAGCTCACTGCAGTCTTGACCTCCCGGGCTGAGGAGACCCCTCCACCTCAGCCTCCTGAGTAGCTGGGACTACAGGTGCACACCTCTACAACCAACTAATTTTTTAATTTTTTTGTAGAGATGAGGTCTTGTTACGTTGCCCAGGCTTGTCTCAAACTCGTAGACTCATATGATCCTCTCGCCCCGGCCTCCTAAATTGTTGGAATTACAGGCATGAGTCATGGCCTGGTCAGGAAGCCTTTCTTAAAATTGCAGCAACTAGTTACATGTCAGGGCTGCTTCCCTGGCCCCACTCGCTCCCTCTAATGAGTGTCCCTTTGCAAGAGGCTTAAGACTCAGCTGCCCCACCAGCTTCATCCCCAGGTGCCAGTCTCTCAAGCCTGAATTCAGCATGGAGCCTAGTCACCCCAGTGCCCTCTCCTGACTGGCCCCAGGATAATGGCCCCTAGCCGTTTTCATCATCCACTATGCTCCCTGAGTAATTTCCCTTGCTGACTCTTGCTGCTGACCCATCTGTCCACCATAGTGAGCATCATTGGATGCTGAAGGTGGGGACCCATCTGTCCACCATAGTGAGCGTCATTGGATGCTAAAGGTGGGGTATGGTCCTTCTCGGGCCTCTCCTAGCTCACCTGGCTTCAGGAAACACCTAGCCACAGTGGTGCTGCAGCCTAAAGGCCTACATCAACACCTGCCTTGCACATTCTAACCGTTGTGAGTAAATCAACTGACGTACCCCTGTTGGTCCCCTGACTCCCTCAGGGCAGACGTGCATTTGTTCAACAAACTCAAAGACAGGCTGAGGTTGTGAATGGATAAGAGCCAAAGGTTCAGGTAAGAGCCAAAGGTGTGCCCTCCCCAGGGCTTGGCTCCACATTGGCCGCCCCACCCTCCAGGGGCACAGCCCTGCCTCTGTGGGACCAACTCACTCTTCCATGGCGGAGAAATCCAGTCTTCTGCTCAGCTAAGCCTTACCTGTAGTTAGATGCTCTTTCTTCCCCAACTTAGCTGAGCCTCACTGGATCTTGTCCTGAGCGATGGGCCCAGAGCCGAGAGGTGATTGATGATTTCTGAAATGGATCAATTTTCCATTCTGTTTTGTCCAGATGGCTGACGAGTGGGCTGAGAAAATGCCCAAAGGCCCGCCACCCGGCTCTCCCAAGGCCGTGGCCAACAGAGACATCCTGGCACGTCTCCACAAAGCAGTGACCTCCCGTTACCACGCCATCGCCCAGGAGTTTGAGAACTTCGACACCATGAAGACAAACACGGCCTCCAGGGATGAGTTCAGGGCCATTTGTACTCGCCACGTCCAAATCCTGACAGATGAGCAGGTAAGAAATCCATTCAATTCACTATCCTAAGCAATGGCATCTGACTGTGCTCCGCTTTTTAAAAAATGCTTGATGTTTTATTTTGTTTGGTTTTTGTTTTTGTTTTTCAATCTTTCTGAAGACTCATGGGAGCCTTCTGCTTATGTCAACACAGCCATGGATCACGTCATTTCAATCAGGGTGCAGATACTTTCACTATAAAAAGCAAATTAATCTCAGCTCTGGCGACCACTCTCCTTGGTTCATCCCAGCACTTAAGTGGTCCAAGAGGGTGGCTGGTTTCTCCCCATACCCGAGAGGGACATGACCCGGGAGCTGCTGGTGCTCCTCCCTACCCCCAACTCAAAGGCTCTGGCAGCCTGCTATCCTGGGCCTCTTTCGTCCTTTGTCCAAGAGCATCTCCCAGTGGGATGGCATCCCGAGGATCTGTCTTACCACAGCAGCTGCAGAAGAGAAGAGCTTGGGAAGAGAGCATCTGTCCTTCCTGACTTCATCCAATAATCACCCTAAAAGCCAGCACCAAGGGAGCACTGACTGCCCTGGGTTGCTTTGTTCCTCACTGTGCCCCAAATGCTAAAGCAGCACCTAGCACTGAGCAAGCGCTCAGTAAGTGCCAGTGGGTGGGTAGTGTCCACATTTCCTAGCTCCCACTGCCCTTGACAGCCTAGTGGCTGAGCTGTCAAGTAACACAGAGCACCACTGATCCAGCAGAAAATGTATTGCTACCAGCCCCCTCCAGTTCTCAGATAAATCAATTTCCCATTCCCAGAGAATAATTCAGGTTAAAAATAAGATCCCAAAATATGTACAAAGCAACTCTACCTTCCTCCTCCCTCCTGGTTCTGCTCAGGCTCAGCCCAGGGAGCTTCCTGCAGGCCCCCGTGGAAATGTCACTCTTTCACTCCAAAGATGGGCCACTCTGGCCAGGCTTGGTGGCTCAGCCTGTAATCCCAATACTTTGGGAGGCCGAGGCAAGTGGATTGCCTGAGCCCGCAGGTTCAAGACCAGCCTGGGCACCTTGGCGAGACCTCGTCTCTACAATAAATAAAAAATAATAATAATAAATTGAGTCCAAAGATGGGTCACTCCAACTTCTTGTCTAATATTCCAGGGTTTCAGGGTAAGGACTTGAAAGTGTTCATAGAGAGGTGTAATCATCCCACCCACCAACCCTACACCTGGCCCTACTCAGGCCTCTGAACTCACTGCCCTCAAGAATGTGCTCCTTAAAGATACTAAGAATGCACACGTCAGGTTTAGCATTCCTAAAACCTCAACTTTATTAGGCATTTGGGTGTGATCACTTTTGCTAAGCTAGATAAAGTGCTATTTCCAATGATATTATCCCATAGAGTAGCAAAGCCAAGCAAAATCTATATTTACAAATACTTCTCTTGGTATAAATGAAAATGAGCCTTTGAAATTAATACTGTTGCATTTATTATTCTATGGGGCAACTAATAAAGATTTTACTAATAACAATTTTTCATTTCGTCTAAACGAGTAAAATTTTATCTTTAATTACAAATACAAATTAATGACTTGCTGACATATCTGACATTCATAACAGAGAATTTGATTTTGATCATCCACTAAGAAAACTTCACTGTCCCCAGGACATCAAGCCCGCCCACCCCCAACAAAATTAAGCACTTATTTTTAGATGCCGCTTCCTAAAAATAAGCTGACATGTCTCAAACACAATCTGCATCATCAAGAGCATCACACTCTGGCATGAGAACATCATGGCTTAAGCTGGGTGATGATTAGCGGAACTTGTGCTATATTTGGGGAGGCTGCTTCTGGATACAGGCTGAGGAATAGCACAGCCCCAGAGATCTTTACATCTTTTCCTTGCGCGAGTCACTTTGCCGGTGACCTTCTTGGCTGGAAGATACAAGGTCTAAGAAAGTGCAACATGGAGGTAATTTGTACTCCTAACATGCCTAGACCTTCTGTGCCATTATTCGAGAGAGTTCACTGAAGATGCTGGGACTGTTCCAGCCATATGGAATAACATTTTAACTACAGATTTCATGACTTGGTTTATCTACATTATAAAAACTTATCTCCTACGTTAAAAAAAAAAATCCAACAATCACATCTGAGGGGCCAGCTTTCTTGACTTATCAAGCTCTGTAAGTGGGGGAAGTGCCACATCTTTTGAAACCTTTTGGTGCAATTAACCTTTCAGAAAAGGAGAGCAACTTTCAGAGCAGATGGAGTTGGAAACTGATGGGTCTTTGTGGCTCTGCAGGAAGCGTGTGATAAAAGGCTGTTGGAACTGAGTCTGTCTGGGTATTGCTTAAGACAATAGAGACCCGCAGTGAAAGCTTCTCCTGGCAAAGCAATTTAGATCAGTCCACAGCGATTGCTTAAGGACTTTTAATATGCAGCTACATTAGAGAAAGGAACTATTAAAATGTTTCTGAACAATTTAGATGTATGTCTAAAATAGACACCCCTAGGAAATGAGAAAAATGCTTGCAGAAAACAAAACAACTCTTCAGGCAGGCAGGCTTGGGTTTGAATTCTGCTTCTGCTGTGTGACCCTGGACAAGTTACTCAGCCTCTCTGAGCTTGTATCTTCCCCTCTGAAGTGAGGATGCATAGTACTCCCCAGGCTCTTTCAACCAAGCTGAACTTCAGCCTTCCCCTCTCCACTCCCACTGTCTCTGCCGGCCCCTCCCCCTGTACCTTTGATGCCTACTCCTCCTTTCTGACTCCACAGGCAGAGTGAAGCCTTTCGTGGCCACCCCTCCACCTGGTGGAGCTGGCCACCTCTACTCTGCCCCCACTCCCTGACCTCACGACCTTGAGCTCCAGCCAAGCCCCTGGGACCCTCCTGCATGTTCTTAGGTTCACAGTTGTCTGTCTTGCGTCTTGCCTACTCAGCCAGTGCCCAGGCAGCGTGTACCCATGTCCTGGGAGCCCACAGCACACAAAGGGGTGGTACCGGGCCCAAGGGAACCGTGGCAGGCCTGCTCCCTGCCTTGAGCTCACATCTGGGGAGAAAAGACAGGCATTGAACACCAACTGTACGTGACTTAGGCAGTCACTTGCTGCTCCCTGCTCTGAAGGGGCGTGCAGCACACTGGGAGGGCGCAGCAGAGGTCTGGCCAGGACAGAACGAGGTTTCCCTGAGGACAGGATGTTGAGTTGGTGGGAGTTGCCTCTGAGAGGGGACAGGAGAGAGCAGGGCCCGGAAATGTCTCGGAAGCAGGAGCAGCGAGTGTGCTGCCCACCCCATGTGCAGACAGAGCCTGCCCTTGTGATCTCTATTCTCGTAGGCGTTCTCAAACAGTGAACAAAATGAGTAAAATACATGATATGTTAGAGGGTGATAAATGCTATGAAGGCAGAGAAAAGGGAGCTTGTCTGTATTCGGGGAAGGTTGAGAGGGTGACACCGGGGCCAAGACTGAGCAGCCCAGTAGGGGTAGCTGGGAGCAGAGGTTCTTGGGCAGTGGGGACACGAGTGGCCAGGCAATGTGTCAGGAGTTTGAGGAATTGGACAGAAGCCAGGACTGTGAAGGGTGTGGACAATGTGGCTGTGAGCAGAGCTGGAACAGGTAGGACGTGAGCCCACCGGCAAGACTTTCCTTTTACTCACAGTGACAGGAGAGGGCTGTGAGCCCTGAGCATACTGGCTGTGGGTGGTGTGACTGGTTTTAGCTTTCCATGGCATCACCCTGGCCACTGTGTGGCGCGCAGAGAAGTGGGTGTGGGGAGGAAGCAGGATGAGCAGACCCCAGGGGATGATCCCGGTGGCATGATCCCGGTGGCAAAGGGGAGTGGTAAGACGAGAGGGGTCTTGGATGTTCCAGAGCTGGAGCTTACTGGATGTGCTAACAGTGTGGGGCGTGAGAAAGAAAAATATACAGAGGGAGGAGGCAGGTGTGGGGGAGAGCAGGGCAGTCTGGTGTCGGGCATGACAGAGAGGTCCAAAGCCAGACGTGCAAGGGAAGATGTGGAGCAGGAGGTGGACAGCCGGGGGCAGAGTCCAGAGGAGAGTTGTCCAAGCTGGCAGGTGTGCGGCAGCAAGAGGGCTGAGTTCTGGGGCCTCCCAATGTTGGAGAGTCAGGGAGACGAGGGGGACCCAGAAAAAGGGACTATGTAGCCACTCACCAGGTGGGAGGAGAACTGGAGCAGTTTTGGACCTGGATCCTCTGTCACTTTGTGTGTGTCTGTGTCCTCTGTAGGGAAAAAAAAATTAATTAACTGTAACCAAATGTATCCATCTTTTCATTTCTGGTATCCACTTTGTGCTCTGGTTAAGAAATCCTTATCTATCTCAAGTGACAAAAATATCAGCCTGCCTTATCTTCTAAAAGTTTTTAAGTTTTCGCTTTATGTTCCAATATGCCTGAAATCGGTTTGTCTTTATTTGTAAAAGGTAGGAATCCACGGCTGTTTCCATATGGATGAATAGTGTTCCCGACCATTTTTGGAACAGTGTGATTTCCTTGCTGAACTGCAGCACCAAGGCTGCCGTGGACCAAGCTTCCATGTATGCATGGGTCTGCTCTGGACTCTGTTCTGGTCCACTGGTTTTCTGTCCTTGGATTGGTTCCACCATATCTAGGTTCCTTTAGCTGTGTGTGTCTTGATGTTGAGTGGGGCGAGCCCTCCTGCCTGGCTCCTCTTCCTCAGAGCATCTGCCTTAATCTTAGCCCTTGGCTTTCCATGGACATTTTAGAATCATCTGGTCAATTTCCACAAAACCCTGTTGATATTTTTACTGGAATTGCATTAAATCGTTGTATTTCTTTGGGGAGAGATGGTGTCCTCTCGATATTGAGTCTTCCTGTCTACCAACATATACTAGCTCTCCCTACATAGGTTTACTATCTTTCTTTTTTTTTTTGAGTTGGAGTCTCACTCTGTCGCCCAGACTGGAGTGCAGTGGCCACTCCCGGCCACCGCAGCCTCGACCTGCTGGGCTCCGGCGATCCTTCCGCCTCAGCCTTCCCAGTAGCTGGAATTACAGGCAAGCGCTAC